ACAAAATCGCGATATAATACAAAGACAAATTGTTTATGATTTACCTCCAAAAGGCAAAAATAGAGGTAAAAAATATCGAGAACGTTTAACATTAAAAAAAAACAACAAAAACTGGGAAAAACCATCACGTAAGAAAAAATCATCGAAGCCATCGACAAAAAAAAGTAAAATTATTAATTCTAAAGAGGCCACAAAAAAAGTGCAGGACAATGAAGAGGAGGAAGAATTGAATCATAGGAAAATCATTAAAACAAAACTTGACAATCTTCTCAAATACAATGAATGTGATAATGAAACTCTGAAGGCCTTGAATTTGGAAAATTTGGATTTTCGAGATCTTAAAAGAAGAAAGGAATGTCACAAATTTTTTATATTTTTTCATCGTTTACAAGATTATTTTGCACGTGAAGGAATCAAAAGTTTTATTCTTGTACCAATCATGAGTCCTGGTCTAAAGTACATTACGTACACGAATACGGCGTTAAAACTGTTGGAAACTGAATTGAAAAAAGTAGCACCAGATTATACATGTACTAAAAAAGCACCGGAAAAGTTTACCGTCAATGAAATTACAGCACAAGAACTCATGCACAAAGACATTATTTCGCCATTAAAAGAAAAATCAAAGTTGCTGCATGCTGAAAAAATTGGTTTGGAAAGAAATTTTCAATATTTGGAAAAAGCAAATAATCCAAAAAATTCAGAAGAATTGTCAAACATAAAAAATCAAATAAAAGAAATTACAAAAAAATTGACTCCAATCAAAAAGGAAATACAATTGGAGAACAAACGACATCAAGACATTAAAAATCAACGACGTCCGGAGAAAATTAATGAAAATGATGAAAGATGGAACAACATGTTTGACATATCTAAAATACAAGTCAACAAAGAGAAATTGAAATTTTCCAAAACAATAATGACGGATGGTGTGGCTGTGTCTGTAATTTATAATCTTGTTAAACCAAAAAATATAACAAATTTTTCTCCTTTACAGCAACAAGAATCGCGAGATTTAACAAAATATGAAGTGTTCAAGGGTCTTGACCCAGGTTTGAAATTTGGATTTGCTGGAGTAGAAAGAAAAATGAATGATAATTTCGATATTAAATGTATAGATAAACATATAAAAATTTCTACAAAATCTTACAGATGGCAAACTCAGGAGAATAAGAGACAAAGCATTCTTTATAATGAGACAAAAAATTATAAAAAATATTATCACGATTTGCAAGTAAGTGAAAAATATCGTGACAAAGTAAATCACAAAGATCCTCAACAAATTTTAATATCAACAGAATATTTATTGACAGCGCTAAAACGAAATCAACCTTATTTTGAAAAACGAAAAATAGCGGCTTTGAAATGGGACAAGTACATGTCAGTACAACGTGAAACAGATCTCTTAGCAAATTACATGGTTGGCGATGTAAAGAGGAAACAACTGTTGGTGATTGGATCACCTGAAATATCACCATGGATGCGTGGCCACGTGCGGATGCCGTTAAGAAAAGTTGTGAGGAGATTAATCGAAAAGCAATCTAAATATCCAAATTTACGAATTGTTTTTATCGATGAACATCGAACCACAAAACTTTGCAGCACTTGCAACGAAAACATGGACATTTTCAGAAACAGAACAGCTTATTGTGCATCATGTAAAATCTCATGGAATCGTGATGTAAACGCGGGTAGAAACATTTTAAATTTGGGACTTGTGAAATTGGGAATAATAAATAAAGAACAATTGCCAAATTGGAATGATTTTCGAGCGTTAAAAAATATCCAAGATTGGAATGAATAGGGGGAGATTTGTCTTTCCAATAGTCTTCTCACTAGATGAGGGGTAAAGGGGTTAGTTTAATACTGACTCTTTTTTACATGTCCGTAAGGACGTAGGGAAAAGCGAGGCAAAGCCGCTAATGTAACTCTATTTTTTATTTCATTATATTTTCGCGCGGTTATTTCAATTGTTTTTCAATTTGAATAGATGGTAAAGTAGATATTTTAATGAAACAGTGGAGAATCTAATTCAAAATGTGAGGTTAAAAATACAAGTAATGATTATTTTTTATAAAATATCTCAAATTCTTTTAAAAAAATGTACTAAATACTTATGTTTCAAAGATATTCGGCCATTTACTGCAAGTTCGTACAGTTTTAACGGCTACAATTTTCTTCCTTTTAAAAATATAAGCAAAAACGTCGCTGCCCCGCCATAAGGGGCAAAGCCGTTTTTTTGCATCTTCTTGAAAATAATTAAATTAAATAATCATGCTTATAATAAATTAAAGAATTATTATTAAAATTTGTTGTTAATTAGTTTGAAATTAATTAGAAAAAAAATCACGTAAATTGATGGTGTAATAACGAAAATATTTAAAAATAAACGTTACATTAGCGTCTTTGCCCCGCTCTCCCCTAGTAATGCACACTCTGAGAAACGGTATAATTATTTGTTTCAGAGCCAAATAGATATTTATTTGTTTTAATTAAAACTTTTTATTTGAAACAATTAATATCCCCATATCTTTACATCCATTTCAATATACCAATATCACAATTCATACCATCATTCACCATCCATCTTACTTTACACACATTTCTACTGTATTTCCTTTCTTTCTTTTGTCGCACGCTCTCTTCCAATAACATTTTAATATTAAATGAAAGAAATAAAAACAACGAGGCGATTATAATCTACAACTTCAGCAATGGGCAAAATAGAAAACTTGAATTTCATTATGTAAAATGATTGGCCTTAGGGGTCATCTATAAAGCAAGTGATACATTTTTTCGAAATTGATTGGTCCCTTTAGGGGTTGGAGGGGGGGGGGGTTAAAAATGTCTAAATTGTCCACGATTCAATGTATTTTGTTGTCCATTATGGGGGTTGGAGGGGTCAAAAATCAGTACAAAATTGTCCACGTGATATAGGCCCCTTAACATATATACGTGATATTGCATTATGGATGACCCCTTAATTATAGAAATCTATTATCGCCTTTTTTAACTTTTACAATTTACTGTTAATTTAACAATTATTGTCATTAATTTTTTTCTCTCTTAAAGACTAAAGATAAACAATAATTTGGGTTAACGACAGTTTTATTTTTGACTCTATGTATTTCATTTAATTTAAAAGGTCGCAAATCTTATTTTAGTTTTAAGTTGTTAAATATCAAGGTGCGAGAGAAAATGGTACAACTTATAGTAAGTCACTTTTATTCTGATTATTTACTATACTCTGAATATACAACATTAGTGACTTATATTTATTTGATATTATTAATCAACTGCAAATTCTATTTACGTCAACACAATGTTTCTCTTGACTCTACTAACTGCATGTATTTAATATTCATTTTAAATTTTTTGTTACCACTTATAAATATTTTAGTTGAGCGAAATTCAATGTTTTGAGAGAAAATTTTGGTAGGCCTGATTAAACCCTAATAACACAAGATATCTTGGTATATATTGATAATATCCCGCAGATATCCTAGGGATGTCCTATGGATATCAAAAGGATCTCTTAAGAATATCCAAAAAATCGGCGGTTTGGATATCCTTTGGATATCCCATGGATATCTAAGGATATCTCTATAGACTTTCATAAATGTCCTCCAGATATCCCATAGATATTTTCAGGATATTCTCAGTATATCTTCTGAATGTCAAAAAGATATTCTCAGGATACTGTTTTTAAAGTCATTATGAGACTACAAGTGAGAATATTCTGAGAATTAAATTTTATATAAATAAAATAAAATGCAACTTGTTTTTCGAGAAAGTTGTTTAATTTGAAAAATTATTAACTAATTTTTTTCTCATTCGTGATTCATTCCTTTATTCATATGCTTAATATTGTCAGAAAATAAATTGGCTTTAAACAATATAAATTCTTCCCCTCAAACAACGAATAACTATTAATATTAATTATACATTAAGTGCATGAGTTTATTTAAAAACTTTGAAAAATGCGTTTCAAATCTTCATTTAAAATAAATTAGAAGCTCATAAGATTTTTGTTTTTATTATATTATTATTCATTATATTAGCTTAACAATTTTAACCTTTAAAAATATATGTTGAGATATTAAATATCCCGTGAATATCCTAAGAATATCCTGAGGATATCCCATGGATATCCTGCGATATAATATCCAATAGATATGTTGTGGATGTCTTAGGGATATCCTATGGATGTCCTGTTGATGTCCCACAGACCGGCGGTTTGGATATCCTAGGGATATCCCAAGATATCCTGTGGACCATTCTAGGATATCGACCATCGATATGGATATCCTTTTGTTATGAGGGAATGATTTTACTGCTTACATAACAAAGAGGAAATTTTTGTTGGTATAGTATACCAAACAGTTTTCTCAATTTGTACGGATATAAAAAATCATTAATTTATTATTTTGGTTTTACATAATACATTATTTTATTTTCTCGCCTACTAGTTTCGAACTGTTTACAATACCTTATCAAGGTTTTTTCATAATTACTACTTTAACAAGAAGCAAATAATAAAAAATCATTATTTGTAATTATCAGATATATGCTATTGAATCTACAGCTTTTCCGCCAAAGGCATAAAAATTATTGATTCAAAAATGCATATGCTATAGAATTTGTAAAATAAATTTGTTGAAACAATACTTTTTCAATAGCATATTTTTCTCTAATGGACATTTAGTTATAGTCGAATCAGGTGCACTCTAAATCTGAATAAGTGAAATTTCACAGATGTGGTACTTTAATAATTGTTATATTTTTGAATAAAAGTTAGAATAGGTAGATATAACGTATAGACGGTATGCATCTGTTGCATTAAGAGGTGTGCGCATACTATATACTTGATAGACCAGGCAGCATCATCAGGAGCACGGTGTGTGCTACTGGTTGTGCATGAAACCGGGATGATGGTGCGCGAGGCGGAGGGTGCAGGCCAAGGAAATGGACCAATGGACGCATGCCCATGGCCTCAGTGGAGCGCGCGACATTGTGCCGAAAGCACTATATCCTCTCGCACTGCCTAGCTTATTTCGTTCCCCCTTCGCGAGTGACAACCCTCCCCCATTTTCAAATTAAACATATTTAAGACGGGGGAACATAATTTTTCTTTTTCGGCTGCTAAAAAAATTTCACTAAAAAAATAAGTCTTGCAACAAAAATTTATTTGTGGAAAAAACAACAGCTCAGGTTTTCAAAAACTGTTTTATTTTTGTTGAAAAGTCTGTAAAAAGTCCCCGCAATATATGTAATAACAAAGTCCCATGTGTCGTGTGCAGTGCTAAACTGTTGATTGTGGCTAGAGTGTGGTGAGTGCGCTCAAGAGTGTGCAACGACCGAGTTTCGATATAGTGGATATTTTTCTAGCGTTTTTTTTTTTTTTTTTTTTTTTTTTTTTTGCAAAACAGAAATATTCGTTAAAAGTTCCTTTTTTATTAACTGTTTTTTAAAGCACAGATTTTGTATTTGTTTCATATCAAAATAATGATATTGTACAGAAACTGAAATGATAATTGTAAATATTTCTTTTTCGTGTAAAAGACATTATTCACCTCTGAAAGAATTAAATTTATTTATTTTGAAATAGTTAAAGTTAAATATATTTCCAAGGAAAAAAATATTCTAGTCTGGTGTTGTCAAAAATGATAAGTTTATTACTATATTGTACAAATTTTATTACTTATTTCAAGTCGAATCTTTCTTCGCGTACATAAATTACAGTAGACTTGACAAACAAAATGGTTGCAATTACCATTTTTAGTCTGTACGATATGATGCTGCTGATTTTTTACTTATTAAAAAATTAATTACTTACTTTTAGTTTAAGATAGTACATATTTCAGAACTTGAAATTGATTTTTATTTAAAGATGGTCTATTTTTCTTAATTCGAAATTAATATTATTTTTTAAATAACTTTAAAATCAATTTTAATTCAGGAATTTTAGGTTTAAAATGGATCACCTTCTTAATTTTAAGGAAGGTTTACTTGCTTGAATTTAAGATAAATTAAATTAATGAAGGTCCATTCTACTGAATTTAAAAAGAGCTTATTTTAATTTACGGATTCTCCACAACCTGAATTTTAAATTAGTTTTACTTAATGAAACCCCATATTCCTTTAATTGGAATCAATTTTATTTAAAAAGGGTCCATCTTCCTGAATTTAAAATAAATTTATTTTAAATTTAATCTAGTCCGAAATTTCTTAAAATTTAATTTAAATTTAATTATCATTGTTATCTTTATTACTATCATTATTATTATTATTATTATTATTTATAATTCTTTATTAATATCCAGTAGAGTGCACTTGAGACTCGTGAGAATTATTTTCAATGGAATCTTGATAATGAAAGATCCTTGAGATATACAGGAGATATTTTATAAAGAAGAAATTATTTGAGAAAAGAAACTTGTGCTCGAAAAAAGAGATTCTCGGAAGGATGTTCAGGTAGCTTCTCAAGTATGCACAAGGTTGTGTCAAGGATACAGCGACTTTTGCGAAGGACTAGAAGAAGAGCCTCCTGAAGAACTATAAAATTATATGAATTAATTTTCTTCAAGATATGAAAAGTGTTTCTTAAAGAAGATTACCCTAGTGGCGTCCAGGAACTGTTCTCCTTAGTGGGCTGTGAACTGATCTTCCTGATGGTCCTAACAAAGATTATTCTGAAGATCCCAAAAATAGAGTTACAGAGAAAGATTATCCTACAGGTCCAGAAATAGATTTTTGCAAGATCCATTAAGAACATTATTCTTTAGATTCAGTACAAAATCATTTTACAGATGCAGAGAATGGTTCAAGTAAATGATCTTCTATAATAGGTAAAGTAACTATTCTACCTGAAAGTGGAGAAAAAAATCTATTTGGAGGTTCTTCTTTACGGAGATTGTTATTGAACTTGAAAGCGATCATCAGCAAAATCCAGGAAAATATCTTACTAAGAATTTTGCAAAAAATTATCTCAAGAACTGAAATTAATGAAAAACATCATAAAAATACCATCAAAAGTATCTTGAGAAATCAATTATCCTGAAGATTCGGAAAGAGATCGTTTAAAAATTAGAATGTAAGAGCTTTCAAAAGGACAATAAGTGGAAAATCTAACAGGAACAGTGAGAAGTTGAAGGATTCGAGGTCTTGCAGAGAAAATAAGATATTTTGGAAGAAGAGAAATTGCATCGATTCAATAAAGTCAACTTGTGCTGGTAGAATGTGTTGAATTCGAGGACCATAACATTAGTGGTGAAAAAAATATATTTCTGTGAGATTGAGAGTAGTGTATCGACAATAGAGAATGTTCAGCGGAATCGGTGCACGGGTCAAGGAACGAATGTTAGGAACGAATGAATTATCGGATGTTCGAGAAGCTCGATGCATTCGCAGGAAGCGCATTGAATTGATTCGCTTTTTTTCGTTTTGTCCTACTTTCCGGTTACCTGAAAAGTCCTCCATGTTGAAATCCGGTCATTGAGTTTTGCGAAAGAGCCGGGACGACGACGACTACGAGAAGAGGTACAGTTCCAAAGGCAAAAGCCACAACGTCCATCTTGAAAATAAAATGTGCAGGATAATACGATCTGCCTAATTACCTCAAAGGACAAAGGAAAAGGTGAGCAAAAAAGTTTTTCTTTAGCGACTAATAATTTCATAAATAATTTTCCATAATTAATACCAATTTAAATAATTGAACAAAGAAATGGAATGAAACTGAAGTTACCAACGTTGATTCAACGAAAAAATAAAATTTAAGGATTCTAATTCCCATCAATAAAATACTTGAAATTACTTGAAATTTCGGGATTTTCGAAAAAAATCCGTGACAAAAAATTCAAAACCACTGCTTTTTCCGACTTAAAAGCAATTTTTCTATTTTTTGAAAGGCTTCTAGCATTGAAATAAATAATTATTAAACGAGAAAAATTGCTTCCGAGTCGAGGACATATGAAAATTACTTGAAATTTCGAAATTTTCGGAAAATCCGGGACAAAACAATGATAAATATTGTTTTTTTTTATTTCAGGTTTCAGAGGGTTGAAAATATTCAAATTTTATTGATGGGAATTGGAATCCTTAAATTCTATTTTTTTGTTGAATTAACGTTGGTAACTTCAGTTTCGTTCAATTTTACATATTTTTGAACATTTTTTGGTATTACCATAGATTTTGAACTCTTTTCTACACAATGCACACATTGTGCAGTTTTAGTTTGACTCTGCACATTGGACATTTAAGTAGCAGATTATTATTATTTACCACATTGTCGTGAAACTCTGCTCTTACCTTCGGGTTATTATGATAATTAATTATAACTTTCGCGTACTAACATCTTAGGAATTGTTAAAATACTTCAATTAAATATTGTTTATCATTGTCAGCTCCCTTTATCTGTTAAAATTAAATTATTATTATTTTTCTCAGTATATTGCAAATTTTTTTAGAAAATTTGCAGTATAATATTGAGTTTCATATGTACCGCTTGTATTTTATGACAAATGACTCAGCTCTGACAGTTGAGTATTTGGGGACATTTCACAAAGTGTCTTTGGAGAGCTTTTGGAGTACACGTGTGATCCCTCTCTTTGGTAGAATACGCCTTATTAACGAGAGCCCCGATGCGAGAAACGTGCCTCTGATAATAACCCATCGTGTTCACCAGTTTATGAAGACTTAGCAACCATTGACTGGAATATTGTGACATGAAGCAAGAGAGAAAGAGAATGTTAGAGGTAGTGGCGAGGAATGAAGAAGACAAATTGTAAGGTGGATGAGAGAAAGTAAGAGGGAGGGTTGAATTGGTACAGAATCACAAGGCTATCGTGTAATGAAATATGCATAGGATTAAGAGCGTTATTCGACGAAGAAGAACACTTTCCTGGTGCATAGTCTACTGTACTGCTTCCTATATATTTTATTCAATTCCTTTTGCCTTTCTGCTTCTCTGAAGCTCTTAACCAACTTCCCACCCCCCCCTTTCTCTCTCTCTTTCTCTCTCTTCAACACTCTCTTCATTAAGAAACACAAAAACGCGTAAAAAGTCATCTCTTTCTCATTCTTAAGCTCTCGACACTAAATTTTCTCTTTGGACTTGATGGTAATCCAACATTCTACTCGGCTTTCATTTGTATATTTTAAAAAGTTTTTTTAAATTAAAAAATTTTCACTGGATTAGTGTATACCTACTTCCGAATTAAATACATTTAGTTGAGTCACAACAGAGAGAAACGTATTCCAGCTGAAAGTGCATATTTAAAAAAAATTTTTTGTCAAATAAAATTTTTTTTAAATGAAAGCTGAGGTTTCTTACGATGAGGACATATTGATGAAAAAATGAGCCTACAATATTTAATCCTTGAAAATTAACATTTTATATGAAACACAGGCGTATAGTCGTCGCTTTTGTGTTGGTGCATTTTAACCCTGTGGGCAAAAAACCATGTTCGTTCTAAAAACGTTTTAAGGACGTTGTTAGAACGTTTCATGTCCGCCAAATAATGTTCTGGAACATTTTAAGAACATGCATGTTCAAATAATGTTCCAGAACATTATTTGGTGGACATGAAACGTTCTAAAAACGTTCTTAAAACGTTTTTAGAACGAACATGGTTTTTTGCCCACAGGGAAGTTACCCTTTACTGCCGTTTGAGAAATCATGGTGGGAAGTAAATTTATTATAACCCTAAGGCAAAAATGGATTCATTATTAACTTGTAAGCCAGTCTATAAGAGTAGTAGTATAGGAGGGCAGTTTACCACGCGTCGACGCTGTTTTTATTTATTTATTTATTTAATACAAACGGGCAATAACAACTTTGCCCAATCGTACAAAGTACTAATTAACATAAAAGGAAATAACAATAATCAATTGGCCGCATTAACATTATTGTCGTCGCTAAATACTAGATTGCGTAATTCTTTAGAAAATACATTGAACGAAACTCCGAAAAAATTTAAATCATTGTTATATTGATTTGCCTCACGAATAAGTCTATGAATTACCGAGTTACCCATATAATTAGTTCTGGCAAATGGCAATTTAAATAAAGGAACATTTCTTAAAAATCGTGTAGGTACAAAAAGTCCAAAAAGACATTTCATTTTAATATTTATAAAACTTTTTAAAATAACAATTGGTTGCATTCTGATTTAAAAAAATACTTTAGAATTACTAAAATGGAATTCTGCATTTTGTTTTTGCAGTGAAAGTTTTGGCCAATATAGACGATGAACAAAAAGAGATTTACTCCGTGGAGATGACCGCCAGGTTAGCGCCGCGTCGAGACTGTCTCGACGACGACGTTGATGAGGTTCCCGAGGGTCATCACTCAGTCACTGCTTCCGCCCTCTGCCATTGAGAGGAAGCTAATTCCTCGTCGCAGTTCTCAGTGATGCCGGCCGTTCCACACCAACAAGGTAAGCCATTTATGTATTTTTACATTACATTGTAGTATGTCAGTGGGAGATAAACGATTGGTTCATACATTAATGGGAAGCTTTAATAGTGGTGCAATGTGGACAACCACCAAAGACCTAAGCTTGCCATAATAATAAACCAATAGTAAAAAAAATTTATTTCTTTAAATTTCTATTATTTTTTCGAATATATTATTACAAAAGACTGTTATACTTGAAACCTTAATCATCTATCGGTATCAGTTTTGCTAATAATAATTGGTACAAAGCTACGGCGCCTTGGCTTCTTCTCCAATTTGGTCCTTCCTTTCCTCTCTATCATTTTCACGACCCCTCTTCTAAAATTTACACTTGACAAATTGTGCAAGGGACTTTCATTATTTTTCTTAATAGAAAAAAGTTCGCCTCACTCCCACCTCCCAATTCCATTTAACCATATAGTTAATATTACCCTCGAAGCAGTAGTAAATCACTCGCCAACCGTTTTCCGGCATTTTTTAATTTTCACTTTTTTTCCTCTTTGATCCAACGCTCTTGTAAAAAGACTTGTATTGATCTCGTATTGTTAGACTTTTTTTCCACATCCAGTCTACTTTCCATTACATTTATGGTTTTGTTGATTCAAACTGTTTATAAAAATGGTAAGTTAAAAAAAATTATTTTATTAATAAAAAAAACAATTATATTACTGCCAATTACTTGAACACTGCATTTTCCATTGTGATACGTAGAAAAAATTTTTTTTTTCCGTTTTCGAAGGACGAAGGCTTCCGAACGAGCGGAATTAATTGTGTATCAATAACAAATCTCCTCGGCACTTTAGAAGTGCGACACTACTTTCTCCTACAAGTGTAAGAACTCGACTCAGAAGACAAATTAGTCCAAAATCAAAACGTGAGATTTGCTTGCATTTAACACAACAGTTTGAACAATTTATTGAAATTCAACTTATAGAGCAACGGTCAGACAAAACGTCGAATAACAAAATGTCAAACAGCAAAGACGACGAATGGATAAAATGTCGAATCTTTTTTTTGAGGTGAGTTAACTCTCTGTCTAAAATGTCTATAAAATGGAGACGCTTGCTTTTCACCGAACGGTCTGTCTGTTCGACGTGTTGGCTTTTCGACATTTTGTATGTTCGACGTCTTTGCTGTTCGATATTTTGTCCGTTCGACAACTTGCCATTCGACATTTTGTCTGTTCGACGTCTTGACCGTTCGGTGAAAAGCAAGCGTCTCTATTGACATCCTATAAAGAGTTAACTCACCTAAAAAAAAAGATTCGATGTTTTGTCCGTTCCTCTCCACAAAATGGAGCACCGTTAGACAATACACACAAAAAACATGCCTAAATAAAAAAGACCCCTTTCTTTGTGGGGAATTTTCTGCTTACTTCCAATTGTTTTTAGTGAAAATTTGAATACTATACGTATATATAAATTAAGCTTTTATTTTGATACAGGTCACTGATGAGGGTAACGACAATTCATGAAGAATGCAAAAACTTTGCTACATCTTCATGAATTCTTGTCCTTAGCCGAGTCATTGGTGACGTGTTTTTTCTACACTTTTCCAAACATCCCATCGGCGCGCCCCTTTTTACTTAAGGGCAGGTCCATCTCGTTTGGCGAGAAGCGACCAGGTTTCATAATGAAAAAAATTATACAAAATAAAAGGAAAAGTAAAGGAAATGATAGGAAAGATTAAAAAAATAGATGGGTTGAGGTTTTTATAAAAGAAATTAATAAAAAATTAATAAAAACTACTTTTGTTCTGACTAAATTGACAGATAATAGTAGAACACTAAACTTCGATTACTAACTTTATCGTGCGCTCAAAGATGGCGCTACTGATTCAATGTAGCGGATGCTTTCAAGTAATGCTGATTCTACAATCACCTAGTCGCTCTGACTTGACGGGATAATTTGCGTGAAGTAGACAAAGATAGAGATATTCTCCGTCTTTGTCTAACTCCTGGCAGTCGTCCCGTCAAGTCCGCGCGACTAGGTTAGTGTAGAATCAGCATAAAAGCAGAAAGACGGTTCGAAGCGGTGTTTCTAATTCTTTGAATTCACAGTTACGAGCGTACATTTATTACCGCCATAACCTCTCCTGTCAAAACATTAGCTAAGTCAATGTATTGATGGTTTTTAAAAAAAAACCAAATGTATTCTCTACGGTCAATTTAGAAGACTCCGTGGAATATCAAAATAATCTGCAAATTTTTGTATTTACAAATAAATGTAGTTTAACAAAAAAATGTATTATTTTTTTAATTTATAAAAAACTACTACAGAATTCAACAAATAAACAACTTTATTTTAGTTGAACAAAATTTAATTAGAAGTTACCCTAAAAATATTTTAATTTTTAGGTTATCCTAGTAAAAGAAAAATAAAAAACTTTTGTTTAAAGTATTAATTATATAGAAGAACTTATTTGAAAATGTTTGGAAAGTTTTTTAAAACTCGCTTAATGATATTATTATTATAAAAAAATTTTAATTTTGCTTGGCAAAAATTTATTAAAGATTTTCAGGTTAAATCAATAAATAGTCACTATTAATTATTTATTCGCAATTAAATGACTAATGATTACTACTTGAATAAGTGACTGACTTTTTTCTATCCAATTAATTTTTTTTAATTTAGATAATCAGAGTGTAATTAAGATTAATTTTACAATTCATGGCGGTTCACTATTTATTGACAATTTTGATCAAAGTTTTTTTTTGAAAAGTATAATATAGCAAATTCGCCAAATAAGAAAGGTAGTTCAAGAATGTACTCTCGCAGTATGTGACAAAGTTCATTATCATTTATTAACATTTTCTCAGAATAAAGTCTCCTGTAGTATAAATATACCACTTTTAAACATTTTGTTTATTATATAAAAGAAAGAATCCTCTGATATTCATTAATAACTCGTTCACGTCTTATTTAATACATGCATATGATATTGTACGAATTGTATATGTATTGACGTGACAAGATTTACAATTAATTGTTTTTTATTGTTCACGGCTTATAGGAAAAATTATATAACTTATACCCATGTTATATGAGTTCAATTCCATTTTCCAAATTATTATCAAATTCAATCACATTTTATTCAATTCATACACATGCAATTGTATGAATTAAATTTTCTTGTGTGGCAAGATTTACAGCTTTTAGATTTTTATCTTGTCCTACTTATTACCGAGTAATTAATTCAACTCATACTCATGCAATCCTATGAGTTGAATGTCATACCCAATAACATTAACAAGAGTTATCAGCAAACTTACTCACATTATATTCAATTCATACGCATGCAATTGTATTAATTGAATTTTCTTGTGTGGCAAGATTTACAGCTTTTAGATTTTTATCTTGTCCTACTTATTAACGAGTAATTAATTCAACTCATACTCATGCAATTCTATGAGTTAAATTTCATACAACCAATAACATTAACAAGAGTTTTTAGCAAACTCACTCACATTTTATTCAATTCATACGCATGCAATTGTATGAATTAAATTTTCTTGTGTGGCAAGATTTACAGCTTTTAGATTTTTATCTTGTCCTACTTATTACCGAGTAATTAATTCAACTCATAGTCATGCAATTCTATGAGTTGAATGTCATACCCAATAACATTAACAAGAGTTTTTAGCAAACTTACTCACATTATATTCAATTCATACGCATGCAATTGTATGAATTAAATTTACTTGTGTGGCAAGATTTACAGCTGTTTTTTTATGTTTTAATAATGCTTCGCACTAAATAACAAAGAGTTAGACAAAAAATTTAGATTTTTATTCTATTTTATCTTACCTACAAAAAATGGATGGATATAATTTTACTTTATTAAAAATAAATTAAAATTATTAAAAAAATATGAGGGATTTTAAGTTTATTTGAAAAATGAAGCCTTACTCACCGAGTTCACTAAGTTTATCTCCTTGCACTGAAGAACGAATGTCTCAATTGTTTTATTCTTCGGCTTAATACTATATGATGAACAAAGTCTCGTGAAGTGCTCATCTGTAATTACTTGCATTTTTAAAAAGGAAATAAAATAATTAATTTGAAATAAAATAAATAATTATAAATCAAATAAAATTAAACAAGAAATTAAATTTTTTTCCAAACCGGATATTAAAAATTTTCAAACTGAATTTTTTTACTTTTTTGAAAAAAGAAGAAAAACAAACCTTGACAAGAATTTCGAATAATTCTTTGATTGGCCCGCTTCTAGTTTTAATCTTCAGTTTAATCGCACTTTACCTGAAAAAAGAATCCACATCAATAATTTACAATTAAAATGATAGAACATAAAAGAGTTTAATTAAAAATAAAAATAATTATATTTTACAATAGTAACATTTACAGAAAAAAATGAAATGTATTTAATTTTAAAAGCAATATGAATTATAAAACAATTAATTTAAAAAAAATGTATTATACAGCGAAATTATTTTTTTTTAAATAATTAATTTTAAAAAAATACATCGTACAACAAAATGATTATTTTAAAAAAAAAATTATATTTATTTATCATTGATTTGTAATAAACTACTAGTTTAGAAAACCTTGAAAAATTTTGCATGTTTAAAAAGAACCGTGAAAAAATGTTTAATTTTATTTAAAAAAATTCAAAAGACACATTGAACCTGCTTCTTTATCTTTATAAGCGAATAAAATATTTTAGACTAATTTTGACCAAAAACTTGTTTTTATCTAAAATTATCAGAACCTATAAGTTTAATTAAATTTAAATCTTACAAAATTAATAGAAAATAAAAAAATACCTCATGTCTGGTGACAAATCCAAACTGCACGCAAGACTGTTACCATGGGACACGTAAACTTTTCTTCTTTTTTAAACTGATTAAGTGTTGGAAATATAACAATTTTATTATCCATACTTTAGCAATTCATTTTTTTGGTAATGGTCTGACAGAAGGCATTGAATGCATGGTTTGATCACCTATTTATTTCATATCCACTGGACTATTCCTAAAAAAAGTTGTCAATATAATAATTTGCAAAATCAAAATTTGTAATTAAAAGATTAAAATTTAAAACTAATTATATTTTATTTAATAATTTAATTATTATTAATAGTATTAAATAGTAGCAACATTACCTGCGCGTGGATAATTTTCTAAAAGAAAATTATCATTATTACTTATTTTACTCATTATTACTATTAATATATAAATCAAAAATTTTCAAATAATCATTAATAAATTGTAATAAATGATTAACACTTACCACATCCAAACTTGAAGACTTCTATTATCAGAAATAATAGTATTATGTTCTATTTTCATCAACAAAAGTGATTATGTTAACGGCTCCTAAGGATCGGTCACAATCTTGGACTATTTCTTCCGATCAAAAATGTCCTACTGCAATATTTGTGAGCAAATGTATAAAGGACTTTTTTTAAGTTTAAAAATGTATAGAAATTGTAATAGGTAGTAAAATGTCTCACTTGTTATAAATTATAAACCAAATAATTTGTGATCTCCAAGTCGAGATGTTATAAAGTAAAATACGAAAGTTAATAGCAAAAAGATTATGTGAAAATTAATTATTGAACATTCTTGAGAAATTTTAAACTTATTCTTGAACTAATTTAGTCACTTTGTAAATAATTTCTAATCAAATTTTACTTTTCATTTACACTCACAACACTCACTGAAAATTTACGTTGACATTTTATTATATATAATAAATCTTTGGAGGTTATGAAATGATAAATACTGTATAGACTTTAATCTACTGTTGATAAAATAAAAATCAAATCAAAATTATAATATATTTATTGTTATAAATTTCTTACCGTCAGTATTTTGCTATATCCTGGTTATAACTACACTGTGCAGAACATGATGAAACACGTCTGTCATACACAAAAATTTTCAGTATAATTGCACGAAAAACTATACACCTTAATTGCGCACTATTAAACAGAGTGTACAAAGTTAATTGACGAATATATATATATATATAATTAACCAAAAATTAAATTAAATTTTCGTTTAATTTGTATTATATTGAAAGTTTTTTTT